CAAGTATCTGTTAGATACATTCTCTGCTAATAATAACAGTACAATTCCAATATGCTATAGCTATTACTCTAACAACTCCCTTAATCACTATTACCAAATTTTTAAAGTAATTCTCACTCGGGCAGTGAGTGCAGTCACTCTTCTGGGTCAAACCACCCACAGAGTATATCTTCAAATCAAATGCCTGGATTTGTTTCCCTGAATATATTACATATTGCTGCCCAGGGAATTGGTTTTAGAAACATTACACCTGCCAGCTGACTTATCAACAGGGCCCATAGAACTGACACCAACTTAAAGGCAAGAATCAGTCCAGAAACAGAAAAATATACTGCTACTGCCATCTGTGGTTTATGCTTGAATAGCTTCTCTGGTGTAAACAAATTGAAGGGTGTAGAGTTTACAATTAGAATCCAAAGACCTCATCATTTAAAGATACTTTTTTAAAGTCAATTCTTAATGTAACAAATTGTATGGTTTATTTAGTATAAGACATAAGAATCTGTAATTCTGTATTTAAGCTTATTATATAATGCTGATAGAGAAACCACAAGCTACCCTGAATGAAAACTACTCCACTGCATAACTTTATTTGTCCCAAACACACACTCCCCCTAAAGAAACTCAAAACATTTGAAACCCTCCCGTGAATTTATAATTAGAATCATTTCTCTTTTGAAATCGTGACTATCAATATTAAAACAGCCCCCGAAATTTTTAAAGCAAAAAAGTTTTAGGAAATCCAGGAATTTTCTATTTAGACATAAGAATTTGGCCAGTTTGCTTCTGTCAAGATAAACATTTGGGAATTCAATTATTCCTATAATTTTTTTAAGAACAAAAATTCCAAAATGCAAATGAGGTTTCAAAGTAGGCTATTTTCACAACATATTTTCTCTCAGTTTGCTTTCTCAAATGACAACCACTGTAGTAGCCTGGGGATCAAAAGATTTGGTGCAGCTGGGGGTGGGGAAAAAAGCAATTCAGCTCTCCAGCAGCCAGCTGAGGAAATCCTGGTCCGCTCCCAAACTAAATCACTGTTAATTAGAATTACCAGGTTACACTAGTAAATAACTGTAACCGATGAAAAAACCTGGGTTTTCTGAGAAGCTTCTCTACAAAGGCTGCTGTTTAATAGCAGGTAACAAAGAATGAAGAACGAAATACCATAGGAAATGTTTTATTCTTTCAAATTATGCTCTCCTCTATTTCCTGTGGTTATTTCTCCACCATACTGAAAAACAGGTTAGACATCTCACAATGGTTTTCTTCTGATTTTCCATTACCTACTAAGGGTGTTACAGTCTAACACCCTTGTCTTTTTCTTAAAGACAAGCCATGTTGGAAAACAAGCAATAAACAAAAGACTGGGCTGAATTCTAGAAATCTGTATATCAAAGTTACATCTAGAGATGTTTTTTTAAATTTAAGCTCAGCTGAATCTGAAACTTTAGCTCTAGAAAGCTCAATACCCAAGACAGAATTACCTGCTCAGTACCAAACCACTTTCTTGCTGATTTTTAATAATTCTGGTATTTCCGACCCCTAGTTATCAAAGGCATCCATAAACCCTTAAGAAATTACCTGAGCCAGGAAAAAACTATAATTAAAAAGTTAAGGCTGATCTTAAAGAAGAAGTGTGAAAGAAAACATTTTCCTTCACAACTTAATTGGTTTTGGAAATGCTCTCAAAGTATTACAAAGAGTTGGGTATATCAGATCACTACTTATGGGGGCAGATTAGATAGCTACCTTCTGTTAAAAATCGTTTCAAGCACATTTATCCTTTACTGAAATACAAACGTGTTTATCTGTTGATTCAGAATTTTGATTTTTCTAATTCTGACCTTTTTCACACATTACTAGAATCTGTTTTTACACATGAAATAAGGCACTTTTATTATCCTACTTAAAAAAAATAGACTGAACCAACAATGTAAAATTTACTCTAAAACACATCTTCTCAAGCGTAACTTTCAACTTAATTATTATGCATGGAAAAAATACTGAACAGAAAAGTGTCATTAATTTGGCTATAAACCAAAAATAAACTTAAGAAGCAAAAATTATGACCAGCCCCAAAGATTTCGATGAATTTGCTGACAATGAAGTCTCCTAATATGGGAGAATCTAACCTGGCTTTATGCAATTCTTAAGTCAGAAGTTGCCATCTGAACACAGTTCATTAACAGACCTATTTTTCAACACAACCAGTAAATAATATCTACCCAATTATAAAAACGAAGTGGTAAGTCTTCCTACTAACACAGATGAAACTAACACAGCTCCAAGCTCCAAAACATGCAAGCATCATTAGCAATTTAAAGCCAACTTGCACAACAAACGCTAGGGGTGGTATAAGAAACTTCCTTTACCAATGTTACAGCAACAGTTGGCATTTCCACCTAACATCCTCTACTATTCTAAAATGTATAATCTAAACTCTATTTTCCACCTTTGCCCCAAAACCCTAGGGAAAAAGTAGGGAATGAGAAACAAGGAAATTCTAAATAAAATATGGAAACGCATAATTTGGATATATTTTTGGAAATTTACCAGCAGTTTTTTTTTTCATTAGTTCCTCATCCAGCTCCCTTTCATGTGCTAACACATGTGCCTTGCATAGACCTTTTTGCCACAGAAGTCAGAATGAATTATAGATTAGGAATCATGTCATCATATTTTGGTTACATGAATCAGAACTGCTGACAGATTTGGTGGCTTGTACACTAGAGATTGTAAATGTGGTCATCTCCCACCTCAGCTATGCAAAATCACCACTTGAATTTGCTCACTGTTGCCTTCTTCTACCCTAGCCATCTTTGGAGGTCACAGACGCTACCAAAAAAAAAAAAAAAAGCAAAACCTGCATGCTGTAGGTACTAAGAAACAACAGTACTACAACATGGTTTTTGTTTTCATTTTTGTTTTTGTTTTTCTAACGGGAGTAGGAAAAAATTCTGGGGCAACTCAGAATTAACTTAATTTTTAAAATCACAGAACTGAAAAGTTAAATCACCATGGGAAACAGTTGCCAATTTATTTTCCCGCATAAACATTTGGACGGCATGGTTACAGCAGGAGAAAAAGGAATCCTGCTATTTGGTGAACTTCTCCCCATTTCCTCTAAAGTGTAATTACACAAAATATGCTTTTAATTACTTATAATGGCTTATAACCTTCCTTTGCCTTCCTTTGCTTTAAATATTTAAAAGTCTATTCCCTCATTCTCTTAAAATGAACAAATGCAATATTCAGCATACACTTCCTCAAATCATTCATCTTCCTTTGAAATCCCAAAAGGGAGCAGTCCTCTATTACAACTAAATGAGTTCATGTTTGTTATGAAAACCTACAAGCAACAACTGAAAGTAGCGCAGTCAGCACAGGGAATTCCTGGAAGGATGATGGTGCATTAAAAGGCTAGAAAGAAACTCTATTCTGACAGAATAAAAATCATTCAAAGGACTGTAAATTCAGCATCAATGGCGTTTCCGGTAGGAAAACATTTCTAAAATGCCACCTCCAGTTTATTTCTTCATGACAGAGACCAAAAGACCCCCTATCTATATAGTTGTCTCTTGAAAATAGTTCGTATAAAATAGAAATCAGCCACTATGATTAAAAAAGAGATAATTATTTTCTACTCAGAACAAGCAGATTCATATATTTTTGGAAAAAAAATATTAATTAGGAAGCAAAAGAGAAAAAATGTGCCCATTGTTCCAAAAGCAAACTTAAAAAAAAATTTTTGACAATTCTTCTGTGAGTATGTTAACTTCCTAAGTGCTAACGAACATAAATTGTAAAACACTGCACAATGCTAGCTTTTACACTGAAAAATATTCCACAACGGTCTAGCTTCTGGTGTATTTTAAGCCCATCAAGCTGCCAGAAGTTCCCATTGCATTTTCAGCAAAAAGAAAACATCTGTACCACTAACTTAGACTAACGTAAAATATTAAAGCCACCTTAGCCTAAATGGATTGCTCGATAACATTCTAATGGTTCTGACCAATTGAGGAAATGAGACTATGAGTGGGAAATCTGATTAAGAGTTAAAATTACCATTGAGTTCTTTAAAATGTACTAATGAATAATTAATAACAAATGCAGTTCTTAGGTTTCTCTTACAACACTATTACTCTCAAGTAGAATTGAAAGCAATATTGCAGTAAATATTGAATTGCAGTAAAATCCGTCATCTACATTATATGCACAGGTGGGTACAGGAAGTATTCACACATAGGAAGGCATCACAGAAATATACACGCTAACATGGGATATAAGATAGGTTGGGGCTTGGATTCAAAAACACCAGCATGGGAAATTTTAGATCAGGATTTACAACACTCACAAATTAATACCAAACCAAATCTCCACACAAACTAGCTTAAAAAGTCAAAGGCATTAAAGAAATCCTTTGTTACTATGATACCGTCTCCTACACTAACTGGATTCCAGCTTTCCCCTTTGTGACACGGAATTTTATTGATCTCAAACATGGTCACATTCAGAAATCAGTTGCCAACGACAGCCCACGGAACGGCCAGCCACCTAGACATCACACATCACACACAAATTTAAAAAAAAAAAAAAAAAAAAAGAGCTTTGAAAACACATCACTATTTTTAAGATCAGCAATATCAAGTGAAGTTAACCAAGCTCTCTTCTACACGGACTTTTCCCTTTAGTAAAAACACCAGATCTCCTGAACTAACAAAATGTTTGACGAGTTAATAAACGTATGAAGGCACAGATCCAACCCACGATTTCCACCCTCTGTAGCTACTCACTCATTCAACAATTGAGCGCCTAAGTGACCTATTTTCAGGTTACTTTCCTCACACCTGCCAGGTCACTGTCCTGATTGAGAAACCTCTTGGTGAAGCAGTTAATTTTTAGTGCCTCCTAACTGTCCCGGGTGTTTGCATTCAATTTGAAATCTGTTACTTGTTAGACACTGTTCGGTCCTAGATCTTTCAGAGAATTGCGAGTTTATGGCGCAGCGAGGGGAGGAGGTACGGATCTCTGAGAGCCTCCCTTTATTCGGAAATGAGGAGATGTGAAAGGTGGAAAACAGGGCAAATAAATAAATAAATCGGGTTTGCCGCCGGAGCGTTTGCCGGCCGGTGCGAGCACCCTTTGTAATGCAGGCCTCCCGGGGCGATCGCCTGCGCTAATTGCTCCAGGGCGCTTTCCAAGTTCAAAAGTTCACCTTTTACGACCTCACAAAAGCTCCTAACACGTTACCAATAAAAACATTCCGCGGCAAACACCGAGGGGGGAAATATCAAACAGATACAAATAAAACACCCTGCAGGGGGAGGGAGCGAAGGGGAGGAGGGTGAGGAAGCCCCGAGGAACCTGAGGAGCTGGCCCGGGCGAGGGGGCAAGGGACGAGCGGTAGGAAGGGCCGGGCCAGGTGAGGGATTCTCAGCGCCCAGGGTCCCGCATCGGGACAAGGAAGAGGAGAACTGAGGCTAAGAGGTGGGGACCGAGACCTGCCGGGCAGAAGCCGGGAGGAGGCAGGTGTCCGGGGCCCCAGGGCGTGCTGGAGCCCTCGGCCAGGGAAAGCCGCTGCCTGGCGGAGAGGGGGGCTGAGCAGGAGCGGCGACCGGCCAGAGAGCGCGGGGCGTTGGGGAAGGTGAGGGGCAGGGGAAGCAGGAGGCGCGAAGGGGTCCGAAAAAGGAAACGACTGGGGGATGTCTAGCGAACGGGGGTTCGGAAGAGATGAGGGGCTCGCAGTATTCAAGGGAGAACGCGCGAGGCTGCAGAGGAGAAAAACACTCTAGAAAGCTGAGCGGTACAAGGGTGCTGTGGAGTCGGGTCGACAGGGCAAGAAGGGAGCGTCCTCGGTGGGAGGAGGAACCCCTGTGGGGGAAAAGAGAGGCTCTGCGCGAAGGGGACTCTAGTGAGAGGGGATGCCCCCACTGACGGACCGCGGGGGGGACTTCCAAGCTAAGGGGCCCGGGGGGAAGGGAGGGTTCGGTGCTGGGAAGACAGGGGGAGGGGACCCGGGGG